GATACTCAAAACACCTTATAAGTTACGTTTTTCAGCATGATACAGTACCATATATTGTGGAAGCCTTACAGTACCATAAATTTAGCATACTCAAAATTTAATTATGGTTCCGTAAGACTACCATAAGTTCTCGTAACTCTAGTGTTTACCCTGTAAATTAAGTTCTCTTGTCGGACGGTAGATGTCAGTGCAGACGCTAGTTGGCCAATCAACGCTCAGTTAACAAAATCATCAACCAATCACAAGAGAAGGAGAAATCAGCTGAGAGCGACGCACGTAATATTATTGTGTAAACATGGAAGGACCACCAGCCAAGAAGAGACGACCTAATTTCAGTGAGGCTGAAGTATACGCTCTTGTGACTGAGGTGGCCAAAAGACAAGAAATGATTTTAGGGAAGTTGGACTCAAGTAGTTGTACACTTCAACTCAAAAACCAGCCTGGGGTGAAGTGTTAAATGAGGTGAATGCTGTTGGTAGAGTCACCCGCAATGTTACTGAAATTCGGCGGAAGTTTTCTGCTGATCTTCGTGTGAGCGTTAAGAAAAAAGCAGCACAAGATAAGAAATATGCTGGTGGAACAGGTAAGTCTTAATATTGTTAGCGTGGTTATTGATTGACAATATGAAACAAACTTAACTATGGTTTTTCTGAGGCTTGGTACGATTTTCGTGTTTGTAAACTCAAGGAAGTAAGTAGTGTGGTGGCTCTCCATCGTGAATGAATACACATATTTTCCTTATATGAGCGCATTCATTAAAAGAAACATCGTTCTTCGAAGTTTTCCGTGTGAGTAAATAGTAAAAACTTTACCGTTCAACCTAATTTTTTTTTTTTTTTTTTTACGTGGATTAACCAACCCAGGCACAGTCACTGACCCACGTCGGGGCCTGTAATAATAATTCTTTAGTACTATTAATAAAAATACCTCTTTATTAATAATAATATTAATAATAAATAACCATAAATACCGAAATGAAAACACAAAAAGTGAGAATCAATATACAGTATGTATGTTGTGTTGTTGATATTACGAGAAACAATTGCGACCCTGCAATTGTGTGTAAATGACACATTTAGTCAGATCAGCAACCTTAGACTTGCTCCTAATTTTCGTGATGCCATATGACAGCAGGGTCTACCATTAGAGTACACATTATGCTTCCAATATCTTCCCACCCGGTAGTCAGGGAAGTCTGTACAACTGTTAATAATTTCCCCACAACTTTTGGATTTTCTTATTATACCTATCATATAGATTACACAATTTTAAGACACACTTGTCATTGTGTCGCAACTGACGTGGAACAGAGATAGTTAATATGAGTTTGTGTGGCAGGGCGGCGGAGGCCTCCCGTTGGTAAAGGAAGCTAGGTTAGGTAGGTTTGGTTACTGTTATAAACTACATATTAATAATTACGTTATTTCAGACGGTAATGAAGGTCATAATGTATAAGTTGCCATAGAATTCCTTTTTTTATGTCGTTAATTTTCATTCATCAATAGATTTATATTCATATTTGGTATACATTAATATGTAAATTTTACTTTGTTAGGCTTATAGGCAAGGATGTTCTATCTTTTGAGTTTACAACTAATACAGGTTGAAAATTTCTGGCTGCGACTATTTTTTTTGACTTATTTTACCATTTATTGTTTGTTACATTAAATCTAATTAACTTTTGACATAGATAAAGGAGAATTTTTGTGGCTACAGCTACAATGATAGGTTAGGTTATAATGTTTGGAACTATTTCAGTAGATTCCTTTGTAACTATGATTTCTGCCAAATATAACATAGTTAGCATATAGTGTATGTAACCACAGCTCACAGTAAGACAGTTATTATTTATATTTTCTCTTCAAGGTGGCGGCCCCCAAATTGAAATTACATACACTGCAATTGAAGAAGCAATTCTTCAACTATTAGATCCAACCTCTATACATGGGATTCCAGGGGATGTTGAAAGTGAAGAACCTAGTAATGGTAATTCAGTCAAAATACTTTTCCAACCTCCTGATATATTTTGTTTTTTTCTGCCCTTGTTTTTATTTAAAAAAAAACTTTTGGAGACATTTTTTCACATCTTGATTTGGAAATACTGTACACTATACTGATTTTTTTATATAATTTTGAAAAATAACAACACTAGTAAGTTGGTTTCATTTCTAGCTTGTTTATTGCTTCCCTAATTTATATATTAAATGTTTTTATAACTCGTATGTTAATGGACAAAATTGAGAAGTGCAAATATAAGAAATTTAACGCCTAGTTGATATTTAGATTTAAAAATATTTTAAACAAATATATTTAGATGGTCAACACTATTTTTCAAACCATTATTTTTCCTAAAAGCTTTTGTATATTTGGAAATACAGTGTAATATTTTAATTATACTCTTAACATAGACTTCAATCAACCTATTATACTACATTTCTTTCCAGAAGAAGAAAGAGAACCAACCCCCAGACCCTCAGGAGCTAGGTTTACAGCTACCGGTAGTTGTTTCCGAGAGAAATTTATGTTTCGGCCCGTTCAAGAGAAAGATGATTCTATAACCCGCATTCTGAATGAGGATATACAGGAACATGATATCACAGTACCCATTGTGCATTTAGAACCTGAAACTTCAGCACCTACAAACATTCCTGGATTTTCATCATCCGGAACATATGAGGTAGAAACATGTAGTTCAAGCAATGCTCGTCAACCTATTGCTGCTACCAAGGAACAGCGAAGTAGGTCTAGTACCCCTTCTGCCACAGCTGTTAGGTCAACTGTAACTGGTGATTACACTGATGAAATGGATTCATCTCCAATGCCAAGTACGAACAGTAGTGGCAGGAGGCCACGAACCTCTTCTGCCCGAAAAGATGAAGATCTTCTTCGAGAGATGCTTCGTGTTCAAACACAAATGAGGGACAGTTTTTTACAGCTTGTAGCTCACACAGAGTGCATTGCATCTGCAATGCTATGCATTGCAAAAGTTATGCAGTCGAAAAATCCTATCCAATGATGCTGTGTTTATGGTATGTGTATATGTAGTTGTTTACTTAGGTAAGTCCTTTACTTTTGGTAAATGTGATAATAGCGTAGTTGAAAAGTCATCAAACACTTATTATAAATTTTCCTTTGAGTGATTGTTATGAAGGAAGATCGCATGTTAAAAAATTGTGTAACTTTCACTTGCAGCCTATACTAGTCATGAAAATGTAACAGGAATATTTAGCTCTCCATAAGTTAATTAAAATCACGAAGTTAAGCGAAAGACACACATTTGTCAACTAATAACATGGGTTGCAGTGCTACTACGGGTAATGTTTACCCAGGTTTTGGGTAAAAGTTCCTACCACACTCAAAATTATATGTTTGAAAAGAGGCTCATGTACTTATTTTTATTTTTTAAAGGTTCCTTTATTTTGTAAGACGTAGTCAATTTCCAGTTCAACGAGTTTTATTTATTAGTTTGTAGTTTGCGAAGTATGATTCAAGTAGGTTGAAACAGAAATAATGGTGCAAATTCACCAACAGCCTACTGTAATCGCTGCTATTTAACACACATTAGTCTCCAAAGCGCAAGTTGTTGCATTGGTTCTTTCATAAGGATGTGCTGTCTCATGTTACATTTTGTAGCTTAACAAGCAAAGAGTACTGTATTCTATTTTTTCTTTATTACTTGTAGTAGTACAGTATTGGGTTATAAGTTTCTTTTAATTTACGGGTATTGATGCAGGTAATTCTAGACATATGAAAATTATACTGTATTTCATTCTTAAATCTAAAAAATGGCAACAAATAACAGTAGTTGTATTATTATTTCACAACGATGTGGTGACCCATGTCAAATTGTGTACGGTAGTTTAAGATGCAAACAGTAGCAATATTTTTTTATTGTTTCAATTTCTCAAATATTTTTAATATAAGGGATTTTTTGTTTCACAAACTTTAGTGCCTTTGGTATTTAGTAGTATTAAAAGTATACTGTATTGGAATCAAATTTGCTCAAGGATATAGTACATATATTATTAAGGTAAAAGAAAGCCATTTAATTTCTATAAAGAAGTTTATTTTTTTATGTACAGAATATTGAAAATAAAAGTTAAATCAATGTACGCTTTATTCGCATTACCTCTGTATACTGCACTAAAAAGTACTATTTAAACATAGAGGAAAATTGTATTGGTGAATTGATATTTGATTTTAATTCATCAAGTAAACCAATTACGGACTACATTGGCTCGGACTGCTTGGCCTGTCCCTGCTACAGCTTCAGCTGTATCACTAAGTACATGTTGAAAGGTTCCATTGGCATAAAATCTTAAGGCAACTAACACTTGCGTGTGTATGGGAACAGCATGAGATCTTCTCGTTCTACGCCTTAAAAATGGATCTAAATCTTAACACAGTCTTAGAATTTCACATCGAGGAAACCTATATCTAATTTGATTTTCATCGCTTATATTTTTGGGATCCAAAGGGTCCCGATACCTTCGTTCACGTCGTAAAGCTCGATCATGCAGATAAGCTACAACAAGATCCATTGCAGGGTAACTGGAAAATGAGGTCCAAGTGTTACTGGATCAATCTGCAGGACAAAAAATTATGCAATGGTTTAGAAGTTTGTTACAGTATTGTTTTTATGTTGATACTAACTAATTCAAAGTTTTATCATTAGGCCTAGAATTGAAGGGTTATGCCTGTGAAAAACAAAAATTACAGCCTTAAGGTTTTGCCTGGCTCTTAGGGGTAAAATACTGAAAAATGCACAACGCGTTAAAATCTCTGTATTCATTTAAAATTGAAAAAAATTGTTCATTATTCAAGTAAATAAGGGTGTTAAAAGCATTTAAAAGACATCCTCTTGCCTCAAAGTCTGTCACATACTCGCATTTGAAACTGATTTCTGGTAGGAACAGCAGCCTTCTCCGTTAGCCGGAATCCTTGAAACCCGGAACTTTCTGAAAGCCGTAATTGAAATTTTATCTAAAATTAATTCCCAAAGCATGATTTAGCAAGAAACTTACGGCTTAGGTAAATGACTTTCAGAGAGGCAAATTTTCCTGAAAACTATGAGGAAAGTTTCCCAGATAACCGAGAAAAGTCCGGAGATGGGGGATATATTTCCGGGTTCGAGAGATGATGTAATGGGCAATTGCAGGAACTACCGAGAAAATTTTTCCATTACCATAAACATTCTGGGGATGAGGGATATTTTCTTGATTTGTGATAACTGTCTCGTTAACGGGAAAACACTCATTCATTCACGGTAGTGCTCTTCACCAATTGTTCCGGCTAACAGAGATCTCACAGTATTTGGTGTTTTACCCCACTAGAATTTAGGTAAATAATCCCTTGCATAATGTTAGCCTGTGACAAGACACATAAGCTATACTAAGATAGCCTTATTCTGGGCAAATTCAAATAAATTGGTTAATGATAGTATAGCCTTGCCTAACCTAAATGACAAATCACTTCTCTTAAATTACTCATTTAGCCTAGACCCTAGTGTTTTCCTTTCAATGTTGGGAATATTTGGTCTGAATTGTCTTCAAGTTCATACAAAAAACAACAATTTAAAACCTGAAAATATATCGGATTAGCCGAAATTTTCTTAAATTAATACTCTACCTATGATAATGTTCAAGGAAAGTCTGGAACTAGGCCTAAGGTAGCTGCTAGACAAAGTGTCTCACTGACGGCCTGACGCTCACCAAAAAACCATGTACACATTCTCTAACCTAACATACCATAACATAACATAACATAACCAAACCAAACCTATCTAACCTATACCCTATTAGTATAATTTCTTATTTAAATAATCCTCATGTTCTAACTAAATTAAGTAGGCCCCATGTTTAAACATTTATTTGCCTAAGACTGAAAAAGCAGTTATATAGGCACCTATTAATCAAGTTAATTGCAATCCATATTTTACACCTAATATCATTTAATTTTCGCTAACCTATGGAAATTTATAGCCTTTCATGTTATCATAAGCCATACACATAAGAAAATAGGCTCAGGCTATTGGTTGAATATTAGAAAAACAAGGCGAAGTCTTGGCAGGAATGTTCACTTGACCTCATATTTGGCTTTCATTACTGAGGGATATTTACGGCTATACAACATTAATAAGTTCTATCTGCAAGTTTACTCAGTCATAAAACATATTTTTACCCTAAGTGTGAACAATACAAACCTTCTATTTTGGTAAGAAATACTTTATAATGTGTAAGAAGACAAAAGATGCGTCTCTTCCAAACTGCGACAAATACAAACACTCAAGCAGCTTATTATACAACAAAAAAGTTACCAAAAAGACAAAGTGAAATATTATATTTCAGTATGTTGATGTACAAAACATTTTCTTCTTTATTCTATGATAAAACAAGTCTAACAAGCATTATTACAACATATATTATTATTATTTTCTATACAATCGGGAATTAGTCACTACTACATCCGGGTTGAGAGTGTTACACAACCTCGGGAGCTGGTGTAAGTTACTTGCGTTAACTTACGGAGTTCGATGTCAAATATTGGTTTTGAGTATACCATCTGTGTTTTGAGTATGCCATCTGTGTTTTGAGTATACCGATCTGAGACTGTAAGTCCAGTTACGGGGTAAACAAAGACATACAGTCCCATAAATGTTTTTGAGTATCCGGCCCCTGATCGATTATAACAAAGTCCCTTGGTCGAGTATAGCAAAGGGCCCTCATCGAGTAAGACAAAGTCCCCTGATCGAGTATAACAAAGTCCCCTGATCGAGTATAACAAAGTCCCCAGATCGAGCATAACAAAGTCCCCTGATCGAGTATAACAAAGTCCCCTGATCGAGTATAACAAAGTCCTCTGAACGAGTATAACAAAGTCCCCTGATCGAGTATAACAAAGTCCTCTGGTCGAGTAAAAAAAGTGCCATGATCGCGTATAACATAGTCCCCTGGTCTATTATATCAAAGTCCCCTAATCGAGTATAACAAAGTCACCTGGTCGAGTATAGCAAAGTCTCCTGATCGGGTATAACAAAGTACCCTGATGGAGTATAACATATCCCCTGATGGAGTATAACAAAGTCCTATGGTCGAGTATAAAAAAGTCCCCTGATCGAGTATAACAAAGGCCCCTCATCGAGTATAACAAAGTCCATTGGTCAAGTATAAAAAGTCCCCTGGTCGAGTATATCAATGTCCCCTGATCGAGTATAACAAAGTCCCCTGGTCGAGTATAGCAAAGTCCCCTGATCGAGTATAACAAAGCCTCCTCATTGGGAATAACAAAGTCCCCTGATCGTGTATGACAAAGCCTCCTGCTCGAGTATAAGAAAGTCCCCTGATCGAGTATAACAAAATCCGTTGATCTAGTATAACAAAGGCCCCTCATCGAGTATAACAAAGGCCCTTCATCGAGTATAACAAAGTCCCCTGATCGAGTATTTCAAAGCCGCTTATTCGAGTATAACAAAGCTCCTCGTCGAGGTTAACAAAGTCCCCCTTTCGAGTCTAACAAAGTCCCCTTATCGAGTATAACAAAGTCTGTTGATTGAGTATAATAAAGTTCCCTGGTCCAGTATAACAAAGTCCCCTAATCGAGTATAACACATCCCCTGATCGACTATAACAAAGTCTAATGGCCCAGTATAACAAAGTCCCCCGATCGGGCATAACAAAGTCCCCTGATACTAGTATAACAAAGTCCTATGGTCGAGTATAAAAAAGTCCCCTGATCGAGTATAAAAAAGTCCCCTGGCCCAGTAAAACAAAGTCCACATATCGAGCATAACAAAGTCCCCTGATCGATTATAACAAAGTCCCATGGTCGCTTATAGCAAAGGGCCCTGGTCGAGTAAGACAAAGTCCCCTGATCGAGTATAACAAAGTTCCCTGATCGATAATAACAAAGCCCCCTGGACGAGTATAACAAAGTCCCCTGATCGAGTATAACAAAGTCCCCTGCTCGAGTATAACAAAGTCCCCTGATCGTGTATAACAAAGGCCCCTCATCGAGTATAACAAAGTCCATTGGTCAAGTATAAAAAAGTTCCCTGGTCGAGTATAACATAGTCCCCTGATCGCGTATAACAAAGTCCCCTGGTCGAGTATAGCAAAGTCCGATAATCAAGTATAACAAAGTCCCCTGATCGAATATAACATATCCCCTGATCGAGTATAACAAAGTCCTCTGGTCGAGTATAACAACGTCCCC